AAAAAAAAAAAAAGGCTAAACATGGTCCTGGTCGCTATATCAGTTTATTACAAATATTTGAGGCCTGAAATGCTAAATCAAAACCGATAAACCAGATATTAAGCAGTTTGTTTTGCACAGCACTAAATCTGTCAAGAGGAGTTCTGGGAGATCAGCGTGCACAGGTTAAAAATAAAGCTGAAGATGACTGGTTCCACAGGTGTGACTGACATTGCATTCTGTTGTGTCACTTGACACACTGTTTTCTCCTGTTGTTTCCTAGAGAATGACTGAAGAACTGTTAATAGTTGTGTTTAAGTCCAATTTACAGAGCGTTGTTCTACATACGGATCTTACAGATGCTCAATCATACTCAATATCTGCATATTATAATCTATGATTGATGAAAAAATGTTTTATGTATTTTAGAAATACATGTGTCAGATTCAGCAATTCATCTTGAAGCGTACCCAACTTCCTAAGAGCTCAGAGAGGCCAAGTGGACATTGAGAGCGTTGAGTGTGGCATATGTTTTCTGTAGTACAGGATCTATTGGCGATCTGAGCCTGTCTACCACAGCTGCCTCTTTCACCTTTGTTATTCTCTATTTTAATGCTTTTAATTAATAAACTAATTTAATTGAGCATATGAATTCTAACACATATATATATATATATATATATATATATATATATAATTTAAAAAAAAAGAAATTAATACTTTTATTCAGCAAGGATGTTAAATTGATAAATAAAGTGATGATAAAGACTTGCGTTGTTAGAAAAAGATTTCTATTTTAAGTAAACACTGTTCTTTTTTAACTTTATTCATCAAATAGTCCTGAAAAAAAGTATCACAGATTCCCCCAAAAAATATGAATCCGCAAAACAGTTTCCAGCACTGATAATAAATCAGCATATTAGAATGATTTCTGAAGATCATGTGACACTGAAGACTGGAGTAATGATGCTGGAAATTCAACTTTGCATCACAGAAATAAATTATATTTTAAAGTATATTAAAATAGAAAACAAGTATTTTAAATTGCAATAATATTTCACAATTTTTACTGTATTTTTGATCAAATAAATGCAGCCTTGATGAGCAGAAGAGACTTCTTTAGAACAACACATTTAAAATCTCACTGATCCCAAACAGCAGTGTACATGAATCACTTTTAAACAGATAAATAATCTATTGTGGTGTATATTATTTGGTAAATCTGTGACTCTCTGGCTAACTGAACACACACAGGAGTTTCAGGCTCGTCAGCCGGACAGAAAGAGGGAAAACGAGCAGAAATCTGCGGGCAGCAGCGACAGCCAATCAGAAGCCAGCAGCAGCAGAGGTATTTAGAGGTCACATGTCTCTGTCAAACAGTTCCGCATAAACCAAATATATGCAGAAATCATGTAAACGTCACAAAAGTCGAATGTTTTTAATAATTCTACAAAATACCTGTTTCCTGAAGAATAACAGTAACTTTGTGAAAAAGGCGGGAAACCTTTTGATTATCCGACCGATTATCGGCACCGATATTGAGCTTTTTTTATGGTTATCGGTCATTTTCAAAACCGATTTGCTGATAAAATCATTTAAAAGCATTAAAAGCACATTTTTGTCAGAACCCTTGTTATTCCTAATTTTGACATTAATTTTCATTTTTACACCAGACATATATACACTACCGTTCAAAAGTTTGAGATCAGAACGATTTTTAATGTTTTTACAGGAGTTTCTTCTGCTCATCAAGGCTGCATTTATTTGATCAAAAATACAGAAAAAATTGTCAAATATTATTGCAATTTAAAATACAGTTTTTTTTATTTTAATATACTTTAAAATGTAATTTATTTCTGTGATCAAATCTGTATTTTCAGCATCATTACTCCAGTCTTCAGTGTCACATGATCTTCAGAAATCATAATAATATGCTGATTTATTATCAGTGCTGCTTAATATTTTTTTGGAACCTGTGATACTTTTTTTCAGGATTCTTTGATGAATAAAAAGTTAAAAAGAAGAGCATTTATTTAAAATAGAAATATTTTCTAACAACATACACTACCGTTCAAAAGTTTGGGGTCAGTACATTTTTATTCTTTCTTTTTTTGAAAGAAATTAAAACTTTTATTCAGCAAGGATGTGTTAAATTGATAAGAAGTGCTAGCGAAGATTTATATAGTTAGAAAAGATATATATTTTAAATAAATGCTGTTCTTTTAAACTTTTTATTCATCAAAGAATCCTGAAAAAAGTATCAGTTTCCAAAAAAAATATTTGGCAGCACAACATTGATAATTCTAATAATAAATCAGCATATTAGAATGATTTCTGAAGGATCATGTGACAC